TGGCGAGTCGAGCCGGCCTCTTCGCGCTTTCGAGCCTACAGCGCACGAAGAAAGGGCTGCCGAAGCTCGTATCCTTCCTCTTGGCGAAGATGGTGCTGGCGTGTCTGTCCGACCCCTTCAAGCAACAAAGCATGCCTCGCGGGTCGGACCAAATCTTCGTACGTCTACTTCGCAGCGAGTCGCAACACTGTCTAGGAGCCCGTCTTCCGAATGGGACAAGGAGGGCTTACAGAAGCAAGCCGAGAAGCGTATCGAGCAAGGCTTTGCAGTAATCAACGATGCACTACATGCACAAGCTCTGCCCCGTGTAATCCTACACAAGCGCAGCCCTCCGATAAGTTTCGCGTACGTCCAAGATTTCGAGTATCCGGGTCAGCACTATCGTATCGTGAAGGTCGAGAATGGAAAGTTCGTCTATCGCCTCAGCGATCCTGCCTCCACCCTCTCGGATCGAGCGTCATTGGCCAAGTCTTGGGAAGAAATGGAACAAGATGAGCGAAAGCAAGTTTACGAGGCGGTCGTCGAGCCTTTGGAGACGAAGCGCGAAGACTACAACAAGGAACCAGCGGAGCGCATCAAGTCCCTTCCGAGCCAAAAGGATGGGTCTAAGTACTTGGGCATCCCGGGAAAAGGCCCAACTATCCTCCGGGCCTATCGTGACGGCCACAACAACTGGCTCTGGGAGGATTTGGCAAATGGCAAGGGCTCTCAACTTTGCGTTCCTGCTGAAAACCTGCCGGTACATCTGAAAGACTTCGTCAGCAACATCATTGGTGACACTCCACATCCTCCTTCGTTCTCTCCTGCACGTGTGCTGCGAAGATCGCTACCTTCTGCTTCTAAGGAAAAGCGAAGCCCTCTTGGTGGGCTCTTCCGATCGCGAACGCAAGAACAGGACCCCTGGATCGATTTGACCGGACAGCATAGATTGCAATACCGAGGTGAAGGATATCAAGTGATTCGAAGCCGCGGTGGGGGGCTTCTCTTCGCTGACTGGGCGCCTCATAAAGACCGCGCCCATTATCCTCGGTATTTCCACAATCTGCAAGACAGTGAAAAACAGAAAATTGAGAAAACAATCCCAATCGTCAAGAAACTTCGCAAAAACGGCTGGGATGAGAGTAAAGTGAGCAATGGATTCCGAGTTTCAAGCGGACCCAGGGACGCCACCGGAGTCTATTACTTGCCTGACAGGATCGCGCACGAGGTCAAGGTGAAGAGGAAAGGCGACCGCTTCAAGTTCGAGATTTTGAAAGAGACGCGATTCGGACCACCTCAACGCACGTGGGTCGAATTGAACGACCTGCCTCAGCATATGAAGGACTTCCTTCGATGGGAGGCCTCAACTGACTTGCAGCAACGCCTTCCTTGGACAGACATCTTGTCTGGCCTGAGACCAAGATCTTTGCGAAGATCTTTGCCATCATTAAGGTTGAAGAAACGCGCGGGTCCCGCTGATCCTAGCACGAGCGAGCCGACACCACTCAAGTATCCCAGTCAGAAGCTCGAGATTCGCAAACCACCAAGTGGATATTCTTTCTCTGTCCTTTCAGAAGATAGCGTCACACAAGATTATCTAGAATGGCCTTCTTTGACCGACGGTCAAAAAGACCTCTTCCGCCGCGCATATCCTAGGATCGATGATGTTATCCAGGGCAAACTTGACGAGCGCAGTGCAGGTCTCGTCTTCGAAAGAGATCCAGTTATGGACTTCCCGCTTGCAACCAAGACTTTACCTGCTGAAACTATCTGGATTGTGCAAGAGTCATCTCCCCTCTTACATGGACAAAAGAGATTGCTCTTCTTTCGCAACCATCCTGCCACTTCGAGTGACTACAAGACTGTTCAAGAACTCCCAGAATACTTGCAGACCTGGCTCTACAGATTCCATCGCAACATCTACATTGAGGCGGGTGGGCCAATTCAGGAGGCCAAGCGGCCTCTGTACAAGAGCATCCCTGCATCGAATTCGGACAAAATTCGTCCAATGGCTTCAAGCTCAAAGCCCATCGCAAGCACAAGCAAGCCGGAAAAGGAGCTCTTGGAGTATCCTGGTCAGATGCTGGAAATCCGCAGATCAGAAGCAGGTGAACACTTTTTCACGTTTCTGACGTCGAATCCCAACGGACATCAAGCATTTCCAAAGTGGTCAGGCCTGGAAAAGGAGGATCAAGCGAGGGTCCGGAGCGTGGTACCAAAGGTCGACGACTGGCTTATCGGCAAAGTGGATGATACCAGCGCAGGCCTCCAATTTGAGGAATCACAAGACTGGGCCAAGCAGCTTGCAATCAAGACAATTCGTCCCCCAGAAACCATTTTCCTGGTACGCAGAAAGGGCAATCTTCTACGCCCCGGCAAGATGGTTTTTCTTCGCTCCGACCCTGTCACTTTTCGCCTAATCCCTAGTGCCTTCAAGCAACTTCCAGCTGAAGTGCAACATTGGATCTCTGTCGCCCATGCAGATATCTATCGCGAGGCTACCGGAGCTGCGAAGGTGATCAAGCACCCGCTGCGGAAGAGAGCTGATCTTGGTCAGGAAGTCGAGGTACGTCAGTCTCACGGGTGGACCCCAAGCCCTAGCCAGGCTTCAAGCTCAAACCAGGCCGTAGGCAATGGAAACCGTATCTTGTTGGAATACCCTGGACGGAACCTTTTGCTTCACGACACCGGGGGAAAGCTTAGCTTCAGCTTTCCGATTGACACAAACCTCGATCCAAATCACAACATGCAGTGGTATAATTGGGAAAGTCTGAACGATGAACAGCGTCAATGGGTCCAAAATTCGATTGAGGATATCGAGAGGAATCGCGCAAATCCTACCGAAGAGTTCAGAAACAGATTCAAGTTCCAGAAGTGGAAAGTTGGCGATCACGACGTGAAAACCGCCACCATCCCGATCAAGGGCCAGGAGCCACAGCGCTTCTGGCTAGAGCGTAAGAGAACAGGATTGCGGAAAAAGTGGATAATCCATCGTCTAGATTCTGCCGGCAAGGTCTACGAAAAGTTGAAATTCAAACAGCTCTCCGGACCTGTTCGTGGCTGGTTTGAGGCACAGTTTCCTGCCCTCTTCAAAGAGGTGTCAAAGTCGGCGTCAACATCAGTTTTGCGTCCCTGGAAAAGGAGAGGCCTATCTCCTGGTATTCTGGATCCAAACTACCCATACGAGAGGCTCCAGCCCAGAGCAGACCAGGCATCAAGCTCGCGATGGTCATCAACCTTGCGATGGTCATCAACCTCGCGTCAGGCTGCAAGCATACCGAATAAAGAACTGCCACTCCTGCACAGTGTCGATTATCCGGGAGAGAGACTCACCCTCACGAAAGCCCAAGACGGAACGTACGTGTTCAACTTTCTTCGGCCCATCTACAATGCGGGATCGTGGACTAGTTACCAGACGAGATCGTGGGCTGGCTTGCCCAGAGGCATAAAGGGATCGCTCGCAGGGATTCCCCACCTGCGTGAGGTAGCAAAAAGCCGCATGCCAGTCGATAAGGCTCGAGAGAAGCCTGTTATGGTTGCCAATGATCCTTTTGACCTGGGACAGGCCCACAGCCATCCGCTTAGACTCGCGGAGAAAATTAGGGTCCTACAAAATGGTAACAAAATCGTATTCCAACGAATTCTTCGTCATAGAGTTGCGGCTCCTGTCGAGTACTCTTCTTTGCCAGAGCACCTGCAAAACTATCTCTGGCAAAATGCAGATGTTCGCAATCTTCTCCAGCGGGCTGCAGGTCATGTACGCAAGCGAGGCTTGTCAATGTCGAGGGGAAAGGATCAAGAAGGTACCTTCGCAGCTGGACCAAGCACGGGCTCTAAGACTGCATATGTTCCTTTAAGGGTTGATCAAACTGCGATCTCCCAAATCCTGCCGGAAAGAAAGCCGCCCGGTTGGAGGCCATATAATCTACCCGACAGCTCGTATCACTTCAAGCGATTCTTTTATCCTGGTGGACAAGGCTTCGACGTGCGTCATGACGAATATGGCTATGGCTTTATGCGAGCCCGTCTTAGCGATGTTGACTTCCCGTTAGTCTATAGATCATTCGGAGAGCTGTCTCGGGAAGATCAAAAGGAGATTCGGATCCTGATCCCGGACATCAGTAACATGTTGCGTCATCACAAAGAGCGGAAAAAAGGGCTCGCTCCTAGCAGGTCTTTCCACTTCCTCCCTGATCAGCGTCCTGAAGAAATTTGGGAGACGATCCAGAATGGAGAGCTCACGTACCATCGTCATCCTTTACAAAACGGTGGAGGATACAGTTTCGAGGTGAAATCAAACTTCGCCCAGCTTCCCGAAGACTTGCGGAATTTCATCGAGACCGCCAAGCAAAGTGGTCGAAGTTTTGTCCGCAAGTGATCACTCTACATGCCAGCGAAAAAAACAAGTCACAACATTGCCTCAACACAATCCTCCCTCTTTTTTTTTTCTTCCTTTTCTCTTAGTCGTACCTTCTCGTCGTCGTTCCTTCCTCCTTTACTTTCTCCTTTTTCACCTTTCCCTTTTTTTCTAACTTACTTTCCACTTTCTCATTGTTTATCGTTATCCTTTCCTACCTTTCTCGTTTCCTTTCAACACCTTCAGTCGTCCAACCGTCACTCCTTGTTTTAGTTCTCGTTCAAGCACGCATCGTCTTTCTTCGACGATCATGCACTTACATATTCTTTTCGTCACAACAACTTCTTTTCATCTCAATTGCATTCAATCATATTCCCCTCCCCATTTCTGTTTTGTGCAGCTTTGTCCGTGTCTGGTTCGCTGATCGGATTTGGTCGTTGTTTGTTCCATGAAGCAGATCTTTGGATGGACAGCAGCTGAACTTCAAAGCAATTGTGAGAAGAGTGAGCTTTTCTGTGCTGTCAAACAACAATGAGTAAAGGGCACGACGTCTGACGACAACCTTGCGCGTGAAGCTGTGTAGAGTAGTAGCCTCTCATCTTCGGTTTTCAAAAAAAAGGGAGCAGGTGGATCGGAAAAAAAAATGTTTTTTTTTCAAAAAATAAGGTCGTACTGGGATTCGAACCCAGGGCAAGAGAAGTCGAATCGTATTGATGAGCTTTGAAAACTCGAACAATCAGAATCTCCTAAGTTAACCAACTACTCCATACAACCTTAGATGTCTGCTTAATGTGAGATACAATATATATACATAAATAGTTTGAGGAAACTGTTTAACGGCTTAAGTCAATGCGCGCTGAGGCAGATGCGGGGCACACCCAGAAGATGAATCATCTCTTTGCCTCTCCCTGACATTTTCGATTTCGCGCATCTCGCCTTGTGTCGATCGCTTCGCTTTGTGGGGGCTGTTGATCCCTTGCAATCGCTTGTCAGCATACGAGAGACAACAAGAATGTGGGGAAATGCTCTCTTTCTCAGACAATTTTCACTGCATTTGCATTCTCCAGTTGGTATCAGAACGCATTGAATCGGTGCCCCGCAAAACGCGTTCTGTTCAACCCTCTTCAGTTTGTTTGTCCCGCTCGCTGACGTTGTTGGGAAGCCTCATTCATTTGACAGCCAATGATACTCTGGTGAGACTGAGGGTCCAGCTTGTGTTTGCTTGCGTGTGCGGGTGAACATTAAGGTGCCGATCCGGCGTGACATGTCGTCGATCGCCCACGGACTATTGAACAAGAGCCACTTTCCTTCCAGCAGGTCCTCGTGAGCTTACCCAAGCTGAATCTTACTTTCCCGTTGCAGCTTGCCTGAGCAGTATCCGAGTCCTGCCAAGCCTCGCGAGACTCCTCGTGGCTCTCTGTGAGTTGCCATTGGCCGCACACGCGCACACAAAAGCGGAGATGAAAATGCAGTTGTGATTGTGCCCATGCGGCTTGCGAAACGGTCTGAATGCTGGTTGGTGATCTGATGTGCTAATAAACGGGATGTGATGAAACGAGACAAATGTGGATGTGTGTGTTTGTGTGTGTATAACTACCGTGTCAAGGCAGCACTGGGTACCCTTTACGTTGGAAACTCGTAACGATGGCCCGAATGAGCCGGAGAGGTGAGAGTATAGAGACAGAGAGATAATAGTGTACAGTGGCTGAGCATGTCAATTACTCGGCTGAGTAGCATCAGATGCGTTGCAAAGGTCGTGCTGCTCAAGGGATCTTTGGCATTAAGCGCGTAATGTCGGACTGGGCGCACAGACTTAGTAAGCGCCTCCTGCCCGAGCGATTGGGGTCGAACGTCCAGAGGCAGACGTCGGGGTATGCGCAGCGAGGCCAGCCGCGTCAGGACTGGTATGCGGGACCTGGTTGTCGCTGTTCCAGCAGAAGCGCGCGACGAGCTCGTTGAAGCTAGTCAAGTTAGACGGTCGCATGAACTCCTCGTCCGGCGTGGCCAGCTCTGAAGATGGCGAGAGTGTGGTGGAAGAAGACAAGGCGGACGAAGAGTAGCCGTGTGGTTCTGCGTCATCTCCCGAGGCAAATGAAGAGGGTCTCGACCTACCTTCGAGATGATCCGCTCGAAGATAGTGGTACGAAGAGGGGCCGCTGATACTGCCCAAATCGTCCAAGCTGCCTGACATGGACGACTTATTGCCGAGGTCCACCATGGCCGTCGAGTCCGAGTCGACCGACGTTGCGGAGAGCGCAGGCGAGAATGGGTTCGGAGAATTGTTCAGCGAGTTGGGAGAGGCCTGGCTACCATCTGGCGTGTAGTCTTCCAGAACAGTTCCGTCGCCTTTGATCTCGATTCTCGTAGTCGAAAAGCCGATTGGCGAGGGAGGCGTGCCAGACCTCGAATTGGAGGCAGAGCCAGAGGCGGATCCGGAGCCAGTGCTGTTGTGGGCTTCATCGTCCCAAATGGCAAATACGCTGCGTGGCTGCACATTGCGGATGGGAGGGAAGGAGTTGAAGCGTGTGGATGCCGAGGGCGATGAAGAAGACCCGTTTGGGCTCAGAGGGCTGAGAGGCGTGGTGGAACCCAGTTGCGGCACTTGAAGCAGCGAACCGGTCGGTGAACTCGTGTTAGAGCCAGTGACAGCAGCGTGCTCGACGACCACTTCACCCAGGCCGGGACTCAGCATGCCAAGGCGACCGAACTTGGGCACCAGCTCGGCTGCGCTCCTGGGAGTCGAGGCATCGGGAGAAGGTGTTGCGGCGCTGATCACAAACGACGAGCGCACAGGGCTCGTAGAGACGTTCGCTGATGGGCGCGCCGAGAAGTAGTCAAGCGCAGCAGCACGTCCAGCTTCCGTCTTTCGACTACCGCTGGACGGGTCTCGAAGCGAGGCACCGAAGTCGTACCTTGCTCCCCACATGGACGGCGAACTGGGTTTGCCGGCCCCACCAGGGGAGACGGGCGGCGAGCGACGCTTGGACATCTCGGAAACAAAGCTACCAGAAGAAGGCGCCTTGTCCGCCTCCTCCTCATCGGAACGGAGGCGCTCGAGCTCCTGCTTGAGCCTCTCCATGGCGTGGTCGCGCGTGGCTTTCTGCCCGTAGACTCCGGTCCTGCGGCCCATCTCGATGATAGAAGAGGTTGATGCTGGGCCGATGGAGCTGAGCGTGTACCTTCGCGGGACGGTGTTGCCAAAGGACGAGGAAGAAGGTCGGCTCTCACCCGAAGTCGGTGGCATGCGAGGCACCTCAGCAGGCTGTGCTGGGCGCTTGCGGAAGTCGAGCTGGTAGTTGCCGCCATCGTTGTTATCCCATATCTCGCGCCCGCCAGTGGTGTAGCGCAAGCAGAGGAAGATGGTCTTGGTCTCGTTGATCCCAGCACCGCGAGGCCAGTTGAGCACCTCGTTAAGCTTGATGGAGAAAACGAAGCGGTCGGCGGTGCCTTCCTTGATGCTCTCAGAGTACTCTGCCGAGACCTCGTTGACGGTGGCCCAGTGGTCGAGGGTGAAGCGAACAGCAACCCACTTTTCAAAGCTCAAGTTCTTGACCTGGACAGTGCCGCGAACAGATCGCAAGTCGTCCGAAAGGTAGATCCGCTCCAGGAAAATATCCTTGTCGAGCGAGAGCTTGGCGGATGAAGGGAAGTTGGGAAGGCGCAGTACAAGCTGCTCTTCCGCTTCAGTGGCAGGAGGCGTGGTGGCATTGGTGGGGCTTCGAGTTCCGGCCACGCGACCAGGACCTCCGCCGCGGCGAGAGCCAAACCACGGATAGTCACGCTCCTCCTCGGTCTCGGTCTCGGTGTGTTCTGGGCTGCCTTCACGCGATACTGCCTGGGGGCGACCTTTGACTTTGAAGATCTTGATGTGCTCGAGCTGTGTGTCGAAGTGCACCGACTTGATTGCGCTGGGCGTGGTAGGGACCGATTTGGCGCCGTAGGCGGACATGGGAAGGATGGCCTCGCTGGCGGAGCGTGGCACCATGTAACTGCCAGAGTATTGCTTGAGCGACGACTTGACGGGTTCGCCCGACTTCTTTCGAATGAGATCCGAACTGGCAGAGGTGGTGGATGAGATCGACGATCGGTCCCCTGCAGGCGAAGGCAAGCAATGGAGATCGAGACTGAGACCGCCGAGGACTTCTGGACCAGGGCTGTTGGCTTTCAGCGCCAGCGCCTTCCTGGATCCTGGATGAAGAGTGGTTGGGTTGGGCATGGTGACCGTGCCGATCCGGGTCTTGGGGCTGGGGAAGGGCAGGCGGTTGTCGGGAGGTGTTGCAAGATCGGCCTCGCTCGCCGTGCGAGCGGACGAGGCTTCACTGGAAGGCGGGCTAGGGGTGTGAATGTTCTCTCTGGGGACGGCAGGGAAGGCGGGCGTGAGCCTCATCATCTTGGCTCGGCGCTTGGCGGCCTGGACGTTTTGGATCTGCATGATAGCATCACGCTCTGCCTCGAGCTCTTTCTGCTCTTGGGCGCTGGCGTACGCCTGTCGCTCACGATAGCGTCTCTCAAAGAATCCGCGGCCAGTTGTCCAGAGGCGAGAATCTGAGGCAACGCCACGTACATGGCTCTTAGGTCGGGAAGGGACAGGTTGAACCAGGTTCTGCGATGCGGTCAAGGATGTACTAGCGCTGGAAGAAGAGTCGAGACGGTCGTGGCTGCTGCCGTTGTTGGAGCTGAAGAGAGCCGTGTCGGCTTGTGAAGTCGAGAGCGTCATGGTGTTGAGCTTGTCCTTGCCGGTGAGGACGAACTTGTGCGACGATGGCGAAGATTTGGCGTGCTGTGGTCGATGATTGGAGACGCGGTCGTAAGATGGGAGAGATGTGCTCACAAGCATAACGTGATGCTCGACGGTCGAATGCGTAGACTCGAAAGCTTGGACGGTCGCGTCGTCACAAAGCTTGCTGCATGGAAGCGCTGATAGGGGAATGTGACGACGCTGGAGGATAGATTAATGGAGAGACTGCAACGCGGGGGATGTCTAGGAAAGAAGGCGGGATGCTGAAGAAGTGCAAGGCTGGCGGATCAGGGTCGAAGAGTTGTTGTGGCTGTTGTTGTTGGTGGTGGTGGTGGTGGTCGGACGAGATGTGGAAGGAAGCTTGCGCCAGAGTTGTGCGTAGTGGCAGCGTCTAAGGAAGCAGCTCAGGTGAGCTGGAACCAGAGAGAGGAATGTAAAGCCAAGCCCACGGATCGTCGGCTTCGGTGGCTGAACAAACAGAATGGAAGGGAACAGGGGGGAGGGCGAAAGACGGAGACGGGATGAAGGAAGAAGAGAAAGAGAGTGCGCAGAGGGGCAAAGATTGGTGGTTGTGTCTGAAGCTGCGCCAAGAGGAGAATCGATGCCAGAGCAGTACTGTACTGTACTGCAGATTGGCCGCCAGAAAGGCGGTTTTGGGTTCGGTTGGGGATGGAGATGTGGGCGTAGCCAAATGTCTGTAGCGTGCTGTGGACAGCGGCGGTGATGGCACCCAGAATCGGAAGCGCCTGCAACCAGCGCAAGGTGAAGGCGAGCAGGTGTGAAGCGAAGACAGGGGAGGAGAGCTCGGACGCACCCAAACTGGTCGAAAGGGTTCTGGGTGAGGAAAGCGTTGGGAGGGTTTGGTGGTCGTAGGCGAAGAGACCCTCCTGCGCAGTCAGCCAGAGCGTCAGATGGTTCGGCTCGATGCGTACAGGAAGAGGACGCCGTATTGTACACAGGAGATAGAAGGGGGGTCAAACAATAGGTGTAGGAGTGCGTCGCACAAGCACGACTGGTTTTGCGCTGTAGATCGACG